AAATGCCACAGAGAGGTTGTCACCTGCCCGGGGCCACAGAGACAGCTAATGGCAGTTGTATTTGAAGCCCAGGCTCCTAGCACAGGGTTTATTTAGCACGGAGTCACGGCTTCAGGGATTTGGAGAAGAGAAAGACGGTGGGAGATGGTGGCCAGCTGTCTCGGCATCAGTACTGCAGAGTGACCATGGCGCTCGTGGCCAGCCGTCACCCACGGCTTGGCTGACCCGAGGGCGCCAGGCGCCCGTCTGTCCAGGCTGCAGGTCAGCTCTGACCTGCTCCAGGTCTTTCACCTTCCTTGGACCAGCGGCCACTTGGTTGGCTGGACCTGCCTGCTGCTCCCAGTGCCCGGGAGAAAGAAGCAGTGGTCACTCAGGCCACGTGTCAATCACTGCAGCAGAAAAGGACAAGCCCACGCCTAAGCACAGCCCAGGGGCCTCGCGTGCTGTGACCACCCTCATGTCACGACCATGGACCAAAGCCACTCCCGAGGCTGAACAAAAGCGCGGAACAAAAGTGTTGCTCCACGGCCTCCACACGGCCTCCACACGGCATCCACACGGCCTCCACACGGCCTCCACCCAACCTTGGAACCCGGTGGGCCATAATTCTACCCTGGGCTGATCACCTGAGCCACACAGGAGCTGAGGCTCCGGGGGGTGGCAGGGGGCTCTGGGGCGTCACGGCTGGTGTGAGAGGGAAGGGCCGCACTCAGCTCCCTGATGTTCTCTTTTATGTCCAGCCACATGACCTGGAGGACCCTGGCCTCCACCTGCGGGACCCTTCGCCACGGAGGAGAAGAAATTGAACTGCTGTCCTAAAGGGACCAAGTGACAGCAGAAGGTGCCCCCTGGCCTACGTCTATGAGGACATTTCTCTGTGCCCTGCGGTGGGAAAGACTCCAGATGATGGACGTATTATCGTGTCTCTATCTGTTGTGGACGGACGGTGGATCTGTGTTGATTTTGATGAATTTTCCCAATTATTCCCTTTCCTAAGGTAGTAAGTGTCCCGGAGGCAGCTTGGAGCAGATCTGGGAACCCGGACAGAGGCAGGAGGGGGAAGGGCGGGAGGGGGAGGGGGCAGGTCAGGCCGCTCCCAGAAGAGCTGGCCACTGAGCCAGGCTGGAGGGACGCAGATGTCCATCGGGGAGGGGGAGAAAGGCCATCCAGATGGACGCCGCCCACCGAGGGGCAAGGCAGGGTCAGTCCCTCCCGCACTGCCCAGCAGCTCTGAGGGCCTGGGCCTCGCAGGCAGGGCACTGGGCTTGGGCCGCAGCCCCCAGAGCCTGGCCATCGGGGCTCACGTCTCTGTGCCCTGTTCCAGCTGGGGTGACCCTGGGCAGGTTGGCCCACCTGGGAGTAGAACCGTGGGGAACACACCTCCTGCATCATGGCCACGGGTCACATGAGACGGCGAGAAGTGCCTGTAGTGGTGACTGTCACACAGAAGGACACAATGGCGTCAGCGACTTGTGACGGGAACGAGGGAACTTATAGGGGTGCGGCTCAGCAGGGCTGTTGTGCCGCCCTGTGCAGTTTAGGGGGTGGGTGGGGGGCTGCCCTGGGATAGGGAGCTTCTCACCCCACGCCAGATCCAGGGGCCAGAGCCCGAGACCAAGGTGCCAGGCCTCCTGTGGCCCCCGATGGCCGGGGAGTGGCGCTGAGCAGGAGGGAAGGGGTGTCTCTCTGAAGCCAGGAAACAGAGCCTGGGGCAGGCAGGAAGGGCCAGCACAGGGTCAAGGGTCACCGCAAGCCCAGGCAGGGCATCTGCAGGCGGGCGTGCCCTGTGTGCCTGGCCCGTTGCCCGGAGTGGCCCAGGGACAGGCGCTCTACGTTACTTTTCATTAAAAAGTGACTTTTTCAGAATGCTTTAATTTCAAAAGCAAGATCTCATCTGTGCAGAGAGCAAAAAGAGGAAAGTAAAAATATACCTATGATCCTACTACAGTGAGCCGCTCCACTCGCTCTGTTCCCACCCAGCTCGTCACTAGACATTTATATATATTCATTATGGAAACTGACTCATACTCTTGTCCTTTCCCTGGCTTGGCACTATGCCATCAATGTCTCCCACGTCAATCATCACCAGTCTTGTTTTTAATGGTTATTATATTCCATTGTATGGATAATATTCCACTGTATGGATAAACAGATACTTTGATTTATTAATTCCTTACTATTGGGATTTAGCTGTTTGCAGTTTTAATTATTCTAAACAACTCTGATGAGCATCCTTTTGCATAAATATCCACCCCTGTCCTCATTTGTTTACCTGGGTTCCATTTCTAAAAGTGGAATTACCTGATGAAAAGATGTATCCATTTTTAAGCCTCTGACACACACTGCGAGCCAGCCTCAGGGGAAGGAATAGTAAATTATGCCCCGGCGATGGGTATCTAGGGGACCACGCTGATCTTTAAACACAGGGTCTAGAACAAAGCCTCTCATGTAAGAGGAGCTTAATAAATAGGCACCGGTCGTATTTTGAGCATTCGAAATCCAGACTCTCCCAAGCACAGCTGCCGTCTGTTAGCGCTCCAAGACACAGAGCCTCGCTCATGTAAAGGAGAGGAAGGTGGGGGGTGCAGGAACACCAGAGGAGCCATACCTCAGGGACGGTGCCCTTTAGTAACACCCGGGTCATCACCTGGCACTTTCCCTGACGTGACTGTGTCTATTCCAACACAAATCAGGATCTAGATCATTAAACCAGCTCTGGCCAAGGGCGTGGCCGTGGACGTGTCCAGGCTTGGAGGTAACAGACCACACAGAAAAGAGCTACTGTCCTCGACCTCCAATCCAGTTCGAGAACTCTCCCCGGGGACTCGCACTGCCCGCCAGTAGCCCGCGGACCAGCCCCGGGGTGCCACCGAGACACGTGGGCGTCCCCGCCAAGAGCCTCAAGCACAATCCCAGCTGACCATCGGCTTGGATCGTGAACTATTTTTTTTTTTTAGGCTCATTTCTTTCAAATCCCCCGACTAGAAGGGGATTGCTTCATCCTGACAGAAAAGGATGATCACGGAAAGACAGAAGGAGGCCGCGCTCCTCTCCGTGCTTCTGTGCTAAGCCTCACAAATGAAAGTCACACGACACTGGATTCACCCATCCCTGACACCAAGGAGAGGAGAATGAAGGAGAAAAGATGTATTAGGACACGCAAAAAGGATCCTCCAACAAAGCCCGACGTTCATAGACACCACCCAAAACACCTTGAAACCAACCTGTGGCTCATACAGTTAGAAACGTCTGGGCCGACACGGGAGGGGGCGTGTTGACAGCCTGAAGCCTCTTTTTATTGAATAATGAACATTCTCCAAGAACACCACGGTTCTGTGTGTGATCGGCAATCCATTTCTTTTCATGAACCACGTTCCATTTTAATCACACGCAGCGTACAGACAATCCTCTTTAGGATCACCTGACGAGATTGCAGAGGAAAAATAATGTGCAGATTAGGTGACCATCACCACGCTGAGACCCCAACGCCCGCGCCCAGCGGCAGGCGGAAACGAGGGGGGACGGAGGACCAAGTGGCGTCGCCCCTCGGGGACTCCGTGTGGGTTTCCGTTTGCTCGCAAGCTGCTGTGGAGAAGGTTATTAAAGGGAACCAACAGCCCAGGGGCGGGGGACGGGCAGGTCGTGGGAAACTGTCCCTGAGGTTGTCCCTGGGAAGTGGCTGAGTTTCCGACTCTCTCCAGCCTCGGTGTCCCCTCTGTGGCACCTCCCCTGCACGGGGAGCGTAAGGACTTCCCAAGACACAGAGTTCAGGGGCTGGCGGCCACGAGGTAGGAGCCGCAGAGGAACAGCCGTTTCTGCTGACCCGGAAGATGCAGAAATGACCCTCAGAGAGCCCGTCACCGGACGTGGGTCAGCCCACGGTGACACACCTCCCTCAGCCCGGGCCTTCTCTCTCTTTGATGTTGATGTCCCTGTAAGTTCTGCTTGGGGTGCTTTAGGATGGGCGACATCAACAGATAATAATACCTCTACTAGCACCTACCCCTCGCCAGGGGCCACGTTATCAGAACATCCTCAGACGTGCTTCCCAGGCAGCTTTATTATTCCTCCTAGTTCTCTTTTCTTCTTTTTTTTTTTTTTTTTTTTGGTACCAGGGATTGAACTCAGGGGCACTCAACCACGGAGCCCCGTCCCCAGCCCTTTTTATATTTTATTTAGAGACAGGGTCTCACTGGGTTGCTCAGGGCCTGGCTAACCTGCTGAGGCTGGCTTTGAACTCGTGATCCTCCTGCCTGGGCCTCCAGAGCTGCTGGGATTCCAGGCGGGGGCCCAGTGCCTGGTGGGCCTCGGTTTTCTAATGACAAAAGTGAGATGTAGAGGGTAAGCTTTCCACGGCTGGAAGCAGCAGAGGTGAAGGAAATGCTCCTGGGCCCGTTGGCAAAGGTGGTGCCCTACTCCAGCCTCCGGAGCCCCTGTGTGTCTTGGTGCCCGCCCTTAAATGGGGCTACATTTGAAAGAATTTCAATCACACCCCGCCAGCATCACATGTTATTATTTTTCCTTTTCAGACGGGACTGAACTTGGGGGTGCTCTGCTACTGAGTGATCCTTACCTCCCCCACCCACCCACCCCCTGCCGCTATTTTATTTTGTTTTTCTGAATTTTCAGATGAGTTGCCCAAGTTGGCCTTGAACTTGCAATCCTCCTGCCTCTGCCTCCCAGGTACCTGGGGTGACAGGCGTGCGCCCACGGCCAGCTCTTACACCCCGTTCCTGGTGGACAGTGCTGCTCCGAGCCTGTGCCTTCCAGAGGCGCCTGGGCCTGGCCCTCCACAGGACGTGCCAGTGAGGGACAGCCCTGTGTCCTTTGTATTCCTTTCAGTGAATCTACCCACATTCTTTAAAAATAAATCAAACAACAAAAAGTGACCCAGTAACACCCACATACAAAGGGAAAAAAATGTGCGTTGGCCTTCATGAAAATGAGAGCTTTTGTTCATCAAAGGACACTACCAAGAGAGTACAAAGGCAAACTGAAGATTTGGAAAAGATAACTGCAATTCATTTACCCAATAAAGGACTTACATCTGGGATAGGTTTTTTAATTCCATCAAATTATATAAGGTGAATAACTCAATAGAAAAGCACATGAAACCAGTCCAGGTGTCCTTCAGCAGATGAGTGGATAGAGAAATAGTGGTGTATTTACACAATGGAATATTACTCAGCTTTAAAGAAGAATGAAATTATGGCATTTGCCAGTAAATGGATGGGGCTGGAGAATATCATGCTAAGTGAAAGAAGCCAATCCCCCAAACCAACAGCCAAATATTTTCTCTGATGCCAATTCACAATGGTGGGGGGCTGGTGGTGGTGGCTAGGGAAGAACAGAGTTGCTTTAGATTGGGTAGAGGGCAGTGGGGGGGGAGGGGTAAGGGTGGGAGACGAGTGTGAAGTGGACATTATCACCCTGTGTGTATGTAGGGCTGCACAGCTGATGGACGCTCCATCCTGAACCACCAGAGAATGAGAAGCTCTGCTCCGTTTACGTACGACGTGTCCAGGTGCGTGTGTCTGTCCTGACAACTAATCAGAACAGATCAGAAAAGCACGAGGGGTCAACAAGGCAAGGTCACGGGCAGGAGGAGGAAGAAGCCACAGGAGAGAAACGGCGAGCGTCCCAGGGGACGGGCAGGCTGGTCACCTGATGTCATCCTAACACGGTGTGAACATGGTTCGTGTCACGCTGCACCCCACACATGCTCGCGGTGATTACCTGCCAACCAAAAGGAGTGGTCACAGAATAAGAAATTTTTAACTGTGAAAGATCTAGAAGAGGCCGTCCACTGGGCCAACGGAAACCCTGACGGCTGAGAGAAAATGACGGAAATGCCACATGGTGACAAAGCGTGGATCACTGTGTCCCCGTGCACCGGGTGGGTACCACCTGGTAGAATCGTGCTGAGGGAACGTTTTCTCTTCTTCCAAAAGCGGGCATGCTTCCCCTCTCCTCTCTGCCTCCAGAAACGCAGTAAAATTCAGCATTAGAAGTCAGTGCTCCAAAATGTATGAAATAACGAGGCAGAGGGAGGGGACCTGGGGCCTCCCTGCCACCCTGGAAGGAGCCGTGGGCAGTTAATTGAGCCGTAGGGAGACCGAGAGCAGAACTGCCAACACGGTGAGCTTCAAAAGTGACAAAATACAAGGCTTGACCTTTAGAGCAGACGCCGCAGGCTCCTCAAACAGCGCAAGGTGTTCTCTGAGGCCGGGAGCCACGGAGGCCCTGGGGGAGCTTGCTGAAGGGGCTGGAAGGGGGCTGCGTTCACATTAAGTCATAAAACAACTTTCTTTGGGGAAATGGGTCTGTGACATGCTCCTGCCGCATTAGAGGAGATCACCGAAATCGGACGTTTGCGGAGCTTTGCTCAGGCCTTGGATACACACTCGCCCTACGTCTGGGCGCCACCGTTATTCTTGGTGGGCATCTGTTTCTGCAGCGTCTCAGTAAGTCGCGTCACACACGAGGCTCCCAGGCAGCTTCGGAGCAGAGAAAGGAGAGATGATTGTCATTAACATAAAACTCAGAGCTGAACCAGCTGCTCCGGGATCCTCCCCTCCAGGGCTCCTCTCCAAGGCCCGTCCCCTCTGCCCCCAGCCCGGATCCTGAAGATTCTATTCTCTTCTCCCCACCGGAGCTATGGTCTCCACTTAGGTTCAGGACCTATTTTGAGCTCATTCCGGTGTGCGAGACTGAAGTCCTTTTTTTAAGTTAACACTTGCGCTTCTTTTCTTTTTTAGTCTGTGGAAGTCCTAATTATTCCAGCACGACTTGCTGAAAGACTGTCTTCGTTCTCTGATCTGCTTTCGCATCTTTCTTGCCAATCAGTGGAGCATGATTGTGTGAACCTACTCCTGGGTTCTCTGTCTCGTTCCACTGGGGCTCTGTCCACCCTCTTCCAATGCCTCCCATCTTTTCTGAACCCAAGGAGGCTTGACCACTGAGCCCAACCACCAGGCCTTTCTAAATCTTTTTTATATTTTATTTAGAGACAGGATGTAACTAAGCTGCTTGGGGCCTCACTAAGTTGCTGAGGCTGACCTTGAACCTGTGATCCTCCTGCCTCAGCCTCCTGAGCTGCTGGGATTTATAGGTACACGCACCGCCCGGGCTCCAACCCCACAGTCTCGATACTATAGTCTTGAAATCAAGTGACGGTTTTCCCCCTCCTTTTTCTTCTTTTTCAAAACATTGTATCAGCTATTCTGGTTTCTTTGTCTAGTCATATAATTTTTAGAATGACTTTATTCCTATATGTAAAAATATGTCTGTGATTTTGATAAGAATTGCACGAAGCATGCAAATCACTTTGGGGCAGAACTATCTTTACTATGCTGAATCTTTCAATTCAGAGCACATGCTGCTGCTCTATTTGTTGATTGTTTTTTTTTGGGTTTTTTTTGGTTCTCTGTTTGCTTTGCAGTACTGGGGACTGAACCCGTGACCTTGTGCACACTAGGCAAGTGCTCTCCCACTGAGCCACACCCTTCTTTGTTTAGATTTTGATATTTTTAATCAGCATTTTGTAGTTTTCTGCATAGAAATCCTCCAGATTTTGTGAAATTTCGACTTAAACACTTCACGATTTTGAGCAATTAAATGTGGTGTGGTATTTTCTACTTGAACGTTCATGTGCTTGTAGCTAGGAATAAAAATCCAGTGGGTTTTCATCTATTCATCTTGTGTCCTTTGACCTTTCCAAACTCACGTTAGTTCTGTTTTTTCTTTTTTGGTTCATTGGGGTTTTCTGTGTAGGAATCACATTATTTGAAAACAGAGACCATTTCATTTCCTTTTCCCCTGACGTGTGCCTCTCGTTCCCCTCCTGCCTCCTCGCGTGGCCAGAAGTCCCAGAGCCATGTTTCTGACCCTAGGGAGAAAGGACTCCTCCTTCAACATCAGGTGTTTTTATTGGCTTCAGGTGTTTGGAGATGCTCTTTTTAAAGGTTGCAGTTGTCCTATTTCTACTTTTTTTCTGTCATGGAGGATGTAGAACCTTGGCGTTTTCCAACATCCATATGGATGGGATCCGGGGATTCTTCTTCCTTGGCCTGTTCAGTGTTGGATTGTGCTAACTTTGACCACATCGAACCAGCCCTGCAGCCCTGCAGTAAGCCCCCCCTTGGTCAGGGGCTATAATTCTTTTCAAATGTGGCTAAATGTTGGTGTTTGTGAACCTGTATTCATGGGGCACGTTGGTCTTTTTCTTTTTTGTGTGTATTTTGGTCTTTGTAGTAGAGAAATATTAGATTCGTTAGACGAATCGAGAAGTCTTTACCCCCCTTTCTACAAAAGACTGTATAGAAAATAATTCTCCAAGGGTTTGTTTGAATTCTCCCGTGAAACCGTCTCGGCTTAGAGAGCTCTTTTTTGGAAGACTTTAAGTTACAAATTCCATTTCCATAGAAGTCACGTGGCCATTTGTACTATCAGCTCACACTGTGCACAGCTGTCTGCAGCGTTACCTGAGCATATCTTTGGCTTTGGAGCATCTGGAGCAAGATCCTGTTTCGTTTCTGCTATTGGTAATTTGCTTCTTTTTCTTGCCAGTCTTCCAGAGATTTGTTAAAAAATAAAAAAATAAAACTTTTTAAGGAACCACATGTCTCAGTTGTCCTCTGTTGTCCACATCCTTGATTTCATTGATGTTCTTTATTCTTTCTTTCCTGGTGCTTGCGATGGGTTTGTTTGCATCTTTTTCTAGGTTCTTGAGGTAGAACCTAGGATTTTATTTAGAGTTCCTTGATGTACTACTTGTTTTTGCAGCACAGGGGACTGAACTTACATGTGAGGCAAGTGTCCTATCACTGAACTATAGACAAGCCACCCCCCCCTTTTTTTCCTAATGCACAAGGCTCTACATTTCCTCACGCTGTCTAGCTCTGTGTCACAGACTCTGGGACGTCCTTTTCTCTCTCAGTAAGTTCACTGTGGCCTTGTTTCCCTGGAGACTTCCTCTTTGGCCTGTGGACTGTTCACGTTGCTTGGTTCCAAGGTTTTTAGACAGTTTGTGGCCGTCTTTCTGTTACTGACCCCTGGGTGGATTTCAGTGTAGTCAGAGAGCACGCTGGATGATCTTAACTATGTCCAGTTTGAGGAGGTCCGTGCTAAACTATGTGGGATGATCTATTTCGGTACTTGTCCCAAGGACTCCTTTTGAGTGCACATTGGGCCAGCGGGTGGCGCGTTCTATAAATGCTGATGCCATCCTGTTGGTTGATGGCGTTGTGAGTGCCTCGACATCCTCGCTGATCCTGCCTACTCGTCTGGTCAATTGTTCAGAGTGGGTTTTGCCCGTTTCTCCTTCTGGTTTATCAGTTCTCTGCTTCCTGTATCCTGCAGCTCTGTTGTTGGTGGCTACACATCAGGAGTGCTGTCTCCTTGTCGGGTTGACTCTTAACATTTCATAGTGTCCTTCTCCACTTCTGGGAGTTTTATTTGCCCTAAAGTTTACGTCATCTGATGTGAACACAGCTCCTTTGGTTGTTTACATAATGCCCACCCTTTTAGTTGCCAACATAGATCTGTTTAAAGTTTCTTGTAGACAGCACGTAGTCGGGTCAGGTTTTCTCACCGAGTCTGCCAATCTGCGTTTGTGTATTTAGGCCATTTACACTTAATGGAATCATCAACACTCAAGGACTTATCCCGACAGTTTGCATTTTCTGTTTTCTCACTCCTGGTTTTGTTCTCGTTGCCTGTGAGATTCCTGAACATTTTTCCCCCTTAGAATTCCCTACCTACAGTGCTTTTGAGCGTCTCTCTGTATACCTTCCTTTGTGATTGCTCTAGGTATTACACACACACACACACACACAATATCACATCCTAGTATCATTATCTTACTAGCCTGAGTGAGGACACATTATCTTTTATGTCCCTTTTCTTTCTTCCATTTATAGTTGTCTTAGATATTTCTTTTACAAACGTGGAGATACCCATCAGCAGGGATGGGGCTCAGTGTTTTTGTCATTTTGGGTGTGGCCTTTGGCTGGAGGAGAGGGGTCAGTGTTGACAAGCTGCTTTGCGAGTTGCCCCTTCCTGGTCCTTCAGCTGGAGAAGCAGGCCTCCTTGCCCTCTGCACTTCTGTCTTCAGGTGGCTTTACGTATCATCTCAGGGCTCTCAGTCAGACTCTGTGGGGAAAAGTGGGTGCAGTGAATCCAGTCTACCTTCCTGGAAGCACGTCTGGGGAGGGGGTGCTGAGGTTGGACCCAGGGCCTTGGGCGTGTTAAGCACCACTCACTCCAGGCCCCCTGCATTCTTAAAAGGTGGCCTCTGGCTTCACTTTCGATAAAGGACATTTCCCCGTGAAACAGGATCGGCATCCCCATGCCCTTCCAAAGAAATGGAGAAAAGTCCGCAGGAAGAGAGAAGACAATCCGCAGGAGGAGAGTCCATCCCAATCTGCCTGCCCAGGTACGAGAGGCAAAAAGCTCAGTTTCCTAAAACCTGAGGTGACAGAACACTGGTGACTGCCCACAGACACTTCTGTCTCAACTCACGTGTCCCAGGGGTCTGCACCGACCGTTCCCAGAGTTAGCGGCGCGGCAGGAGCACCTGCAGAAGGCTGCGCAGGTGAGACTCCAGCCTCGATGTGTCAGTCTTGGGAACGCCGAGCCCCTTGGTCTTCCCCAGAACTCACTGGGATTGGTAAAATCACAACGAGTGACTGAGGACCCCTAGTCAGAACTCACTGGGTTCCCAGGGGAGAAGGCATTTTAAGAGACAAGTGGGGTGACAACAGAACCTGGGAGACCAAGAGGAGGCGTGGGTGCCGGGCCCAAGGGCAGCACCGGCTGTTCCCTGGCCATTCACAGAGCAGTTATCGGCTCCCTCCTGACCCCCGCCGTGGACAAGGCTCTCTCTTGGACCTTGGTTTTAGACCTCGTAAGCTCACTGAGGGGCCATGATCTAGGGGACCTCAGTGCCAACATCCTCTGCCTTCTCCCCCAACTCCAACAGCCATGCGCGTCTTTCCCAGTTATCAAAGCTCGAGTTCTCCTCCTCCTCCTCCCTTAGCGATCCCCTCTCCCTTTCCCAGGTAGAGCACCCGCCACAAGGCAGGAAGGACCTCGGCCAGCAGCACCAAACTCCACCCATAGCTGCTATAGCCATTTTAAGTGACTCAGAAAGGGGCCTCTTCCTCCAGGCTCTTTACTAGGAAATAGCTGTGATTACTCTTCAAAATTAGGGTGACACTGACTGAACTCCACAGTGCCTCCTGGACTTAGAAAATGCACAACCTGCTCGACCGCCCAGATCTCTTACCTTCCTTCCCAGGGTTACTGCCTGAGGTCAGCCCCTCCACCTGTGCTTTGCATCCATCCTATCCCATTCTGCCTTCTTAAAACCCAACCCCATAAGCCACTCTTGGACAGAGGTCGGTTTGGCCCTGGGATGATCAACATTACAAACCCCTGGCTCCACCTCATCGATATTGAAACAAGCTGACCTCAGGCAGCCATCCTGGGAAAGGAAGGTATAAAATCCAAGTGGAAAACCAGGGACGGTTATTGCCCGCTAGTCAGGCGTGTCTCGTCCACCACAGCTACAACCTGGCGGACAGAAGCTGCTGAAGGATCCTCCGCCTCAAAGGGAATGAAATTCGCAACGATTCAAGAAGGGCCTGTGTCAGATCTGGAGGAACTTCCGGTGAGCTCAACCCAAGGCCATCCACAAAAACACACCGTCTGAGCTCCACGGCGATCCGGACAGAACAAAAAGTTTGTTTGCAATGTTCAAAGAAAGAGTGGGACCTAACTCTGACGTTGAGTTCACTGTTGGCTCTGGGTGGTTCAGTGATGGAGGACTCATTATTCACTCCACAATGAGAAAGTGAGCGTACAGTCTGCAAGTGCTGATGGGGAGAAGCTGAGGAACTTCTGGAAACTCGACATAAGCTTATTGCGGAGGAAACTCATTTGCCAGAACGCATCTTTCATGCCACTGAGGATTTTGTAAATGCTCTTTATGATGTTTGCATAATGATGAAATTGCCTAAGGACACAATGCATTGTCACCGAACAGCACACGACTGTAATTAAAAATAAATAAATAAAGTATCCACGCCTCCTTTCACTATCTCGCTTCTTCACCAGCAGCTTCTTGGAAGGATTTTTTGTGTTCATCTCTCCATGTCCTCACCTCATTTCAAGCCGCCTTCTCCCCATTCCACTCAGCTCTGGCTAACGGCAACGTCTGTCCAGTCGTGATATTTCTCAGTCTCTCCACTGATTTCTAGACAAACTGACCCAGGTGACTGGCCCTCCTTGAAGCCCGCCCAGCCTGTCACTTTCTCCGGTTTTTTCTCAGGAGGCTGCCTGCTCCTCTTCTTCCTGAGAAGCAGATAAGCTCCTGGGCGGTCCTGCCCTTTCCCACAGCCATTCTCTGCCCCAGGCCATCTCTCCCGTGCTCCTGCTCCATCCAGGAGCATGAAGGAAGGCGCGGGCCTCTGACTCAGGTCTCTCCACCAGGGGGTCCAGGCCTCCAGCTCAGGTCTCTCCACCAGGAGGTTTGTGTTAGGTGCAGAACAGGCTGAACTAAGTTGTCTGCAGGGCAGGCTGAACGAATGTTAGCTGCAGGATAACCCACGTGCTCAAATCCCCCTCTGTCTGGTCCTTTGTCACCTGTTTGCGTCAAGTCTGAACACTCAACCCCACTCGAGGCTGAACACTAGACCCCCACCTATGCAAAGGAAACCCCATCTGACCCCTGCCCTGTCTGCCTGAAGGCAGAAGATGACACCCTTAGCAACTACTGTGTGATCCGATCACTGCTGGCCAACAAGGCGGCTTGCAGACCCATTAGATCTTGGCTATAAAAACTCTCTCCTGCCAGGGCCCCCTCTTGCTCTCTTGCTTTTTCTTCTCTCGCTTTCTTTCTCTCTCATTTTGCTCTCTCTTCTCCTCTTTTTCACTGCTGCAATAAAGATCTCTTGGTCCCTCCAAGTGCTGTGGTCACTTTCCTTTCAGTCCGGGCCTCCAGCTCAGGCCTTTCCACTAGGAGGTCCGGGCCTCCAGCTCAGATCTCTCCACCAGGAGGTCCGAACGGGCACCTGGGCTGGCCTGCTGAACTTCTCCACTAGAAAGTTCCACGGGCAAAACATGCCTAAAACCAACTGCGTCCACAGCCGCCTCCTGCTTTCCCTTTGGCATGTCACCTCAGCGTCCTCTCGGCTACAGGTGCAGAGCCTGGCGGGGTCACTCCAGTTACGCGGCTGCCATGTCACCATACACCTGCAACTCTCCCTCCTCCCCTTCCTCCCCTGCTCTCCAGCGTGGCCCTAGCTCAAGGGACCGCGGCCAACAAGCTCCCTGGAGGCTCAGCTGAGCCCACGTGCCCGCAGTCCCCAGGCCTCCAGCCCCCTCCTGGGGTGAGTCCGTCGGCCTCCACCACCGCGAAGCCTGAACGGGGCTGCACCGTGTTCTCTGGGCTATGGCAGCGAGGCCACAGTACCTGCTGGGTTCACGAGCGGGAGGCGGAAGCATGACACTAAGGAAAGCCAGGAGTGGCCGAAGGTCAGAGCCCAGGGGTTCCGAATGCCCTCCTGCCACACACAGCATGGCGGCGGCCCGAACCCGCGCCCGACTTCCGTTTCCTGTGCGGAATACGTCACTTCCTCTCCGGTGCTCTGGAGCCCCTCAGAGGCTGGGAACCTGAGGCGGTCGGGGCTGGCTTCGCCCGCTGGTCACCTGTATTCTTGTGGTCTCCAGCGCAGCCGCTGCGGCCCCGATTCTCTGCGGCCTGCGGCTTGGCCCGCGTGGAGGGACCCACGAGGTCAGGAGGGATGGAGCCGGGTGGCGGAGGCGCGTCCTCTAGGCTCGTGATGAAAAGCCACCCCTCGCCGTCGTGGGGCTTGATGGTGGCCGACGGGGCGCGCGGGCAGGCGGCGCGCAGTATCCCGGGCTTCGCGGGCGCGAGGAGCCTGCACGGGGGCGGGAGGGGGCTCGGAAACCCCGAAACCCTTTCGGGTTTTGTTGGCCATACTGCAGGCTTTGGCGAGCACCGAGGCCCTGGGCGACATCCACAGCCCTCTCCGTTTCATTTCATTTTGAGACAGAGTCTCGCTGACCTCCAACTTGCAATCCTCCTGCCTCGGCCTCCCCAGTCTCTGGGATTCCTGGTACCTAACCGCATACCGGCCCCTTTAGTTTTAACCATTAAACTGTTTGTGCCATCCAGTGACCACTGTGCTTCTGGTAAGCCTTCTGGCTTCTGAGGCCACGTCTAGGATGAAGAGCCTTAATTGGGTAGTTTTCATGGGTGGCAGGCCCCATTCTTCACCTCCTTTTATTGAGATGGCAGTGAAAAGCCAAGGCAAATAGCCCTACTAAAGGGGCCGAGAAAGTCACAGGAGACCAGAGCCTCTGACCTTTATTTTTTAAACGGACTCTCCCTTGAAGGAGCTTACCACCGATGTTGGCATGCAAATAGGTGCTGTGGGACTTGAAAGTAAGAGAGATTTTGCCACAGTCCTTAGGAAAGATGGTTACCAAACGAGTACCTCCTGACGGCAGACCTAATGAGCAAGACCACAACCTCCTTCACCGTGGCACTGGACCAGGCTGCAAAGCTCGCTGTCCCTCAGAGGTGGCCACAACCTGCTCTGCTTAGTTGTCATATATTGTCTCTAACCTGAATTTTTGGGGCGGTGGGTAGGGGACAGGGGTCAGAGTGTATCAGAGTCCCCAGGTAGCTGAGGAATTCATGGAATCTGTACAACTCTCACTACTGCCCAAGTTACAGTGCCGGGGAGAACTGGAAGACTTTTCCCAAGTTTACTACACAGCAGCTAAACCACTGAAAGTCAGGAGTCACAGGCCTGAACAATCGGTGAGCAGAAGGTGGCAAGGGATTTCATTTGATAACGGGAACATAGCTTTCTTGTTTAATAAAATGCTTTAAAAATTCATCAGTGGTTTTCAGTAATTAGCATATAAATTTCAGTTATCAATGGGTTCATAACAAACAGACTCATTAGGTACCCCACTCAGTCATCTATCTACATGAAAAGTTCTGCTAAATTGTATTTGTGGGCATTGATCAAAACTAATGGGAAAAAAGATTAAGATAAAAATCATGGGATTAAATTTTTAATTAGTTTGCTCCCTGAACAATTGCGTGGTGTGACATGGTGATTGATTGGCTACTTCTGCCTGCCTGGGAGGATGTGGTTCTGCCACCAAACCTCTGCACATAAGAGGGTTTTACAAAGGCCATTTATTTATCCTTCTCTTTATTCCTGCTTAACAAGGAATTGAAAAGGAAAGGAAAGTCTGGGGCCTCAAACTCCCTGGTCTGGTGAGACATATAAAATATGAGCTGAGGGCTTCAGTCGGTTCACTAATAAACCTTCCAAACTTAACATGTCTAAATGGAACTCCTCATTTCCTGCCCGATCTCTTCCTGTCTCGGGGTCCTTATTTCAATGACTGGAACCATCACACATCATTGGCAAAGACCCAGGAGCAATCTTGATTCTTTCTGTTTCTCATCAGCTTTTCTTCCAAAGCAAATAAATTCACTGCCCTCATCCTTACCACCCTGTGCCTGGCGCTGCCGTCTTTGACTTGGTTCACTGCAACACGCTCCGAGGTTGGCTTCCCTGCTTCTAAGCCTGGGATCTGTTTCCACCATCCCAGTCCCTTCACCACAGAGCAGCAGCCAAAATATCTGTTGAAACATAAGTTTAGGATCTATTTCTTCTGTGTTTAGGACTATGCAGTATGTCCCTGTGTCAATCACTGGGCCCTTCCAGGCCCTGAGGATCAGGGCTCGAGCTGGGCCCCCTCAAGGGACCTAGACATACCATCGTTCTCCTTTCAAGTGGCAAGTTTCATCTTGCATTAGCTCAAGTTCCGTTTGCCTGGAGCCCTCTCCCCCTGCCCCCTATCCCCGGTATTCACAGGGCTGACCTCTCTTGTTTAGGTCTGAACGTAAATATCATCCTGACCCCCGAACTAAAGTAGCCTCTTAGTCCAGTGACATGGTCTGACTCGGTTCCATCACAGTGCTCCTCAACGTCACTATTCTCTGCGTCTTCTTCCCTTGTTCACTGACTACCTTCTCCCCGAGCCCTAATATATCAGCTCCATAAAGGAGAGCTTGTCTCGGGCCTCAGTGTTCCTCGGGAATAGTCTCCAATGGATGTGTGAGTCCATGAAGGGATGGATCCCACTGGCCCCAAAGCTGTTACCATCTCACCTCAGACGCCCCGAAACAGAAGGCTGGGAAAGTCAGGAGGAGAAGCCGGGTAGGGTGGACCCTGACGCACACGATGTGGACATGGACACAGTGGAGAGAGGAAGAGAAGCACTTGGGATGGAGGGTTGAGGGACAGTGAAGGAAAACGGGAATGACGTGGACCAACTCTCAGATAAGTTCTAGAAATCGGAAACCTCGTACAAGCGCGTGCATGCACACACATTCCAGTGCGAGGAAGCGTCTCTCAGCACTGGCTTTGTGTCCGACCCTTGGAGAAGGCTTTCGCTGGTAGAGATGGCCGGGATCCCAAGGTCCCCTCCTCCCCAAGGGACGAGAGGACTATGTTTTAGAAAATCCTGAGCCCAGGGCTGCCTCCCAGTTTGGCAGTTCCACTTAAATGACATATTTTGTCTGAAAGCCATCTGACTTTATGCCATCTAACATTTATATTAATAGCGGATGAAAATGTCAGGTCCCAATCAGGCTCCCGCCAAGCCGTCAGCTCATTCCCTCCCCCTGGGTTAGAGCGGAGAGGACAGGGGTGGGGAGAGGGAGACCGTGGGTCCCAGGCTTTAAAAATGCAAGAAGAAACGCGTAGCTCAGTTGAGTCCTCCCATGAAGCCTCTTGCCCTGTTACCAGTCACCTCCTGGGTGCGCCTTCTGTCTTCTGGGCCCCTCTGCCTGGACCTTGTCCATCTGGGTCCCCCTCGAGGCTCCCTGACATTTGAAGTGTGCACTTCATCCAGCTCCACGTCAGGGCCCCACGCTGCACTTGGTTTCCCGTCTCCCACGGGCTGTGACACTTCCTCATTTCCCTGTGTCGTCCACCATCCTGACCCTTGGGCGTGCCGGTCACTTATCTGCAGCCCGTCCCTCAGTTCGGGTTTCTCCATTACTGTCTCTGGATGAGACTGGGCTTTCTAAGCTTCTGCAAGAACGCCACTGAGCAGGCCCTTCCCCATGCAGACCCCTGCTGCGGCCACGTCCATAATGTCAACGTGGCCACTTGGTTCTTTCCAGGGGAAAGAGGAGAAAAATATATACGTGTGTATGTGTATATATGTGTGTATATGTGTGTATATGTATATAGATGTCATGTGTGTATATATAATACATATTTTACACATGGTATACACATATATACGATATATATATATATATATATATATATATATATATATTTTGGGGGCAGATACTGTGAGACTCCCTTGGTGTCATTTGTGACCACACCCTCCTTGTTCTGTGCCTGCTGGGAGGTGGCAGGTGGGTCGGGTGATCTGTTCACCTGAACATCCCAAGCACAGATCAGGACCCGTCAAGAGCAATGCTCTCACAGAGTCAGGGCTGGACGGAGTGTTTGCCACTCTAGGACATGGCTGGGCCACATCTTGACGCATGGCACGGTGAGGCATGCCTCCGTTGTCATGTGTGCATGTCAATCAGATGGAGTTCTTTTTTCTGTGAATTCATTCTGCAGACATGTCTGTGGGCCTCACCTCACTCTTATCCTCTGGCTGGTCTTCCCAGAACTCAGAGGGGAGACTGAGGCAGCAGCGTGTGCGGTCACAGCGACCAGGGACAGAACACCATCCTGTCCCTCGCCTGCCCCTCACTGCACACTAGGCTCCCAGTGACGGGACGGCGTCCTCTGCTGGATCCTGCCCACTCTCATGGACCTGAAGAAGGACTCCCATTACCTGCCCGCACCCGAGGGCCGCCCAGGCTTCCTCCACCCGCCTCCCTGCCCAGAAATCCCTGCCGTGCCACCGCACCCCTCTCTGCATTCCACCCTTGGTCCCAAGGCTCCCTCGAACCAGCGCTTTCTTTTGTATGTGTTTTGATTCATCCCTATGAAAGTAACGCAGGACCATCCAGAAAACTCTTGAACACAGAGAAGTGAAAGAGGAAAAAAAACAGGGCTGGGGATGCGGCTCAAGCGGTGGCGCGCTCGCCTGGCATGTGAAGGGCGCTGGGTTCGATCCTCAGCGCCACATACCAACAGAGATGTTGTGTCCGCCGAGAACTAAAAACTAAATATTAAAAAAATATTTTAAAAAGAAAGAGGAAAAAAACAACCCTACACAGGACCACAGGTTTCTACCACCCGGAGACCACCACTGCCCACCAGCCGGCGTGTTTCCCTCGAGTGTTTTTCTATCTTCACGTCGTCTTACCGCACACTTTTCCCTCTCGTTATTACTTCATCGTCACCTGCACGCGCTCTCATAGGCAGCGCTCGGGGAACCCCTTTTTAAACACTGCACAGGCCCACCCCTCCCGGGGCAGCGCATCTAGCTCGTTTTCTATTTTTGAAGATCCTTCCCTGGCATCTCTGTTGCCATAGCTGACCGATTCTTCAGGAGAGAGTTCCAGAAACGGAAAAGCAAGTTCTAAAGGAAACGGGCTCTTCCTAGTTTCGCGAGGTTTCATTTTGATTTCTAAAACTGTTCGCACGCGCCTTCTATAAAAGAGCTCCAGGAACGCAGATGGCCCCGAGGAACCCACGTCCAGTCTTGAGCACGGTTCAGACCCTTGCGGCCGCAGCAGTGTGGTAAGAAGCTTCCTCTGGTAAACAGCGGCTTTCTGTTTCTCGAGGAT